GTAATAACTTGGGGGTAGGTGTGTAATTCTCTGTGGAAGCCACATTATAGCTTCCAGTTTTCCTGTTGAAGACCAGCCTTGGTTTCCTGAAAACAGACACTAGTCAAATTTTTTTCCTTCATGCCCAGCTAGAGAAAGTTGCCTCCCCCCCTCTCCCTGCCATTGGAGAGAGAACAGCAAGCAGGGTGGGCTCCAGTCCAGGTGGGAGCAGGAGGATGGGGCCCAAGGAGGTCCTCCCCTGGAGCACTGCAAAGCTCTGAGAACACACACACAGCAGGGCCGTGGAAGGTTTATGTAACGTGTCACAACTTTGTTTTGTGCTCCCATCAAATACATATTTTTTTGCTTCATCTTTTCCTTGTAGAGTCTTAGTACATATTATGTGAACAGACTGCAGAGCATTTTATTCAGAAGAGTTTAATTAACCTCAGCTAGCGAAAAGAAAAAGAACGTACAGAAGCTGTAGGGTAAAAAAAGATCATATTTAGACAAATAAGTGCAAATGACCTCAATGCATCAATTTTCTTAAGAGCCACGCAGTGCAATCTGGATGCAGTCTGCAGAGACTGCAGGTTTATGTCACTGCTCCTTGTGTTCGCTGTCCTGGTCGGTGCCTTGGGGCTTCCCTCACGCTGCCCCTCAAGTCCATAATAATCCTACCTGCTCTCATCCCTTTTCTTCTCCATCTGTTGCCTTTCTCTTAGACACATCAAAACGCAGAGCTGTAAGGAGCCCAGGAGATTAGCTATTCCCCTGTAGGATTAAGAGCACTCAGATCTTCTCTGACAGATGTTTATCTAACCCTATTTTTGAAAATCTCCAAGGAATGCTGTCTCAAGACTTCTCTATTTTGTCTGTTTTAGTGCTTAGCTACTCTTACAGCTGGAAAGATCTTTTTCCACGTATCTAATCCTATTCCCCTTTATAGTAAATTGAGCCAAGCCACAATCAAAATGGAGAATAATTGATCTCTTCAAAGAATTTTTCATGTTTTTGGAACAGTGATAGCACATTCCTTTTCATTTATATGTTCTCTCTAGATTAACAGCTCTATTTCTTCGGCTTTTCCCAATGATCAAGATTTCAGACTATTTATTTATTTATTTATTTATTTATTTTGTCTTTTTACATTTTCTTGCACTTATTTAACTCTTTGGGTCGTTTTTCAGTGTGACATTAAAAACTGGGCAGTGTAAAGCAACTGGTCTTCATGCTGGCTCAGCTATAGCCAGGATGCAAGCTAATACTACACTGATACAGCAGCATGTAAACAAAACCAATGTCTGTAGTTCAGTAATTTCCTCTTGACTGTCTCATATGGTATCCATGGGGTGATCAGGAGTAGCACTGTCCCAGCTGCAGTTTCTGCCATCTCCTAAGCCTGAGCTCCTTTCAGCAGTGCAGCTACCTCCATTGCTGATAAATCTCCATCTGGTGCACCTATTTGCTTTGTCCCTCTGACATGTAGTGCTTACCAGCCCATTTAAGCAATCTGTTTTCATCTTCCACCACACATCTGTTTTCCTTTATCTTATGTGTGCTTGTTTGGTTCAGCTTATGTGCTTGAAGAAAGGAAAGACAGACACAGTGTGCAGAGCAACAGGGCTCATTTCTCTCTGCTGTCATGGCCCTCCTATCTGCTTCTGCCACAAACCACACAAAGCAGTGCTACTCTCATATCCTGTTTTTGTCCCAAATTTTGATTTTCTTGTCCACGTGCAGAGGAAGTTCCTTAACTTTGGCCTCGTTTGCCAGTTATGTAGCTCAGGTGAACTCCTCAATTTTGTTGGAACCAATTGCGTTGTCATCCAAGTGCATTCGAAGACACCAGTGCTTAGCAAGGAGTTAAGTAATACCTGTTTTTCTTTAAGAGCTGTCAGAACATATGTGATAGAATATCTGTGGCTCAAGTAATTATTATTGTTCTGATACTACGGATGTTAAAACTTAGTCAGTTAGTAAATAATATCGGTTTATTGAGTATAGGCACAGAGAGCGGAAGAAAAGAGAAGTAGTAGCAGATAGCTAAGCCATCCCAGATGATGGTACCCAGGTACAGGTATCAATCTGCTCTACGGACTGAGCTTTCCCAAAGCCAGGTGTACGAGCCATACGCACACAGTGCTATGGGGTACAGGTGCTGGAGTCCGTAGCCAGTGAGTGGGGAATGGTGCTTCCTTTATGGAAGCAGGAAAGGAGCGCTCCATCAGCACAGAATGGTGATTGCCTCTCAGGGCTGGCTCTGAGCTCCCTCCTGGACTTCTGCATGGCTTCGTACTCTCTGTGCATCCTCTCCTCAGGGCCTCCCCCCCCGGGGCCGTTTCTCCAGCAGCAGATTGGTGCCAAGCTGAGCTCTGGGGAGGCCGATGGAAGATGATTCATTTCTTCTTGTTATGAAAAAGCTTCTTCTTGAAATGAAAGTAAAAGCGGCAGGCAGGAGCTCTGTGCTTGTTGTCTTTTCCTGATTCCCAATGCACTTATTTAATGCTCAAGGACAAAGCTGCAGCGTTCCTTCTTTGTGTGTTTTCCTCAAACGCTCCTGATAGCTGAGCTTGTTCTTTCCTGCTATTGCATTTTCCCCAACAATAATCTTCTGAAAGCACTTGTGCGATTCCATTATCTCCTTATTGCTCCTCCAATAACTCCTAGGCAACACCGTTACCTTCGCACCCAATGCTCAGCAGCACCTGCAGCCCCCGGAGCGCCGCAGCAGCGACTGTTCGGCTGCAGCCTGGGGAGGGGAAGGCACGGAGCCGCTCAGCCAGACGCCCTCTGGAAGCGTGGCACCTGCATACTGCTGTTAGAGCACTCACTTAGCTATTAAAGGGAGCTCATCGTGTTTGCCAAACAAAAAATGAGAGGGGGAAAAAACCCACCGCGTTCAGTCCGTACGTGCCTGCAAAAAGGTAATGCACAGAGTGGTGTTTCAGCACCAGGCGAAAAGGAGGCTTGTGATTATTTATTTTCATGATATTTTTATGAGCAAATCTCTGCTTAGTCATGAATATTGCACAGAAAGTATGTTTGATCCTACTTCACCTGCCTCACAAGGGCAGCCTGCTTTCTTCTGGAAGTTTTCTACAGCAGTGGGTCGGCCGCTTCTCTGTGAAGAAGAAGATTTGTGGGTAGCACTAATTTAAGGAGCACATCTTTTTTTTTTTTCCAGTGAGGCTTGTTATCGAGTTCTTTGAGAATGTGAAGATGAATGCTATTTCTAAGAACTAGTCCAAAGCTAAAACGTAAACCAGTGCACAGTATTGATTTAATTGAACAAATTTAGCGGTGCTTCACAGCCTTTTCTCAACATTTAAGTGGGGGCTGAGGAAGAAGAAAGAAGCAATTTGCCAAATCAGGGCAACGTAGAAAAGTTTTACGGGCTGCATGTTCAGCCTGGAATATCCTTATGTTTAGGACAACACCGTTGCTCAAAGCTTTCATGTAGGAAGAAGGTATTTGTGCGGTATGTTAGTTAACAGGTATTTTTTCCCCTACAGAGCATTCCAGAGGAGGGAGCCAGATTTTAAAGACTCCAATCTCCTAAGCAGTGCCCTGTCTCATGACACATCCATGAATATGTTTGTTGAAAAACTGACATACGACTTATTTTTTGAGATGAATGATTCATTTAAAACAACACCTATTGCTTACCTTCATAAAAAAACCCTCACTCCTAAAGCTTACTTGAGTAAATAAGTGTTGTATATTGATTTTCTTCCTTTCAAATGAACTCTTTGACATAACATTTATCTTTAGGTTTCAAAAACCAAAAAATATTTAAATACATTAACTTAATATACCTAAATACTGGGTATTTACAGTGAGTAGAGGAAGACAATCTTGATGGTATGTTTCTGAATTTGTGTTTTCAGTTATATGTATGTGTTGTAAATTGAAACACCCTCTCTGGTCATGACTTCATGTAATTAATACTCTGCTTTCTGATAGTCATTTTTTGTTATCTGTTCCGTGAAAGAGGCCAATGCTCCTGTAACACCAGTGTAAATCAGGAATAGTTGCATGAAAGGCGGCACCAAATGTGATGCGCAGGACCAAAAGAAGTTCAAAGAAGGAAGGGGGGAAAACAGGCAGGTGTCTGTCTTTCACTGTGGTTAATCATCACAATTTCACATCAGTGATGGAGCAGTTGACACAGTATTCTAAAAACACTGCTTTTAGTGCTATGTCTGCTGCATCTCCTGTTTCCCTGCTGCTGTGACCACGCAGCCGTGCCGGTGCAATGGCAGAAGGCTATTTCTGTCTTCTCCCTTCCTGATGGAGAGAAGTGAGCTATTGCTGAAAAACAAGGGGGTGGGAATGATCAGTTTAGAAAGCAAGTGAAGATGAGGAGGTTTGGTCATAAAGATTATTACAAATATCAAGGAAGGGAAAAGCAAAAATTTAAGCTGGCTCAAGAGGTTAAAGCCAGGTTATAGTGGGATAGAGTTTAAGAGTCCTTTGGATGGAGAACCGAGGGGGTTTTCTCACCAATGAATTGTGTAAGAATGGGAAATGGGTGCCAGGGAGAAGCAGCACAGACCCATCTCTGCTGATACCGAGAGCAGGTCTGGAAAAGGGAGACCCAGCCCTGCAGTGCCAAGTGGGCACAAGCTAATTTCGCAAGTTTTTTCTCTCCATACAGCCTTTTTTTGCACCACAGGAATCCCATCAGGCTCCTGTCATGTGGAGCAGGAGTAATACTTTATGCTCGGTAAGAAGGCACTAAACCCATGGGAGATGATGGAAGGGCTCTGACTGCTCAAAGGTGGTTTTTCATTCCTGTAAGCAAAATCTCGCAGCATGAGGATTTGTATTTTGTTCTACTTTTTTCTCTGTTTCCCCTATTCATTCAGTCAGCAACAAATATTCGCAGCAGACGAGGTTGGAAGACTCTGACTGTTTCACCATTGCTTCTTTCTTTTCTCAGCCCTCCTGTGAATTCCCTGCTGAGCTCAGGCTCTGTAAGTACCTTACGATCAGTCCATCTCCTTTTGTCTCCGCAGGACCTGATACGAAGAGATATTCTGTATTACAAAGGTCGCATAGACATGGATAAATATGAAGTGGTAGATATAGAAGATGGGAGAGATGATGACTTCAATGTCAGCATGAAGAATGCCTTCAAACTTCATAACAAGGAGACTGAGGAAATGCACTTATTCTTTGCCAAGAAACTGGAGGAGAAGTTGCGATGGCTCAGAGCTTTCAGAGAAGAAAGGAAGATGGTAAAAGAAGATGAAAAGATAGGTGAGGAATATGAAATGGATCTGAAAGGAGGTTGTTGGTAATGCTTCATTTAGCCCCAGTTGTTGGAGAAGCCCACATTTTTTTCTAATTGTAGCATTACAGTTAAACCTTGTTCAGATGTCCTTGGCTGCTCTTGTTGCCATGAAGTAGATCTCTTTCCAGTTCAGTTAGTGGTATTTTTGGCCCTCAGTGAGCAAATTCTGCCCATAGCTTCAAGCCTGGACCTCCAGGGGTATGTGCAAAACACATCACTTGGGTCTCCTGACCCAGAGTCTCCTGGCTGCCTCCTTTCTGCCCTGTCTGTGCACGTCCTGTGCAGGGTATGGAGGGGCCAAATTGGTGATCGATCAGCCATGCCCTTCCCTCAGCATCGGCCCAGAAACTGACTGCAACGAGTGTCAGTTCAGGCTCAGTTTGTGTTGCTCAGCTGTAAAGTACTGGGCATATTTACGATCCTGTTTATAATAATAATAATAATAATGGATCTAATCTTACTTTCCATGCAGACCCTGCACAAGGGAGATTATAAGCAGGCCTGTCCTTTCAAGGCAGATTTGCCTTTCATTGAAACACCTTACCGTACACACAGCCTGCTGGGTGATGCTTTGCCACCTAGGGAGCTCTGTGTTTGCCAAACAGTGCAGAAAATCCCCCCCTCCCCAAAAGAAAGAGAGGCTTTGTAAGCAACTTCTGAATTGTATTTGCCGTGTTCCCTTTTTCAGGCTTTGAAATTTCTGAAAATCAAAAGCGGCAAGCGGCAATGACAGTAAAGAAAGTCAGTAAGCAAAAAGGTAACCGGCAACACGCACTGTGCCTGGTGATGTGAGGGTGGAGCGGGCTGGGCTGAATCCTGCTGGGCTAGGATCCAGTGTCTCCCTTGAATTTCCCTCTCCCCTTTCTCTTTTTTATAAAATACCGTTTGTGCTTTGTATCCTTTCTTAATGTATCTGTGGGCCAAATTAATCTCTGGTCTCATGTGGCAGAAGCCAGTGGAATTTCACCAGAGATGAATTTGATCTCGTTATCTCCAGTCTGATGTCCAGAAGCTGTCCCTGGGGGCAGAAATCTTTCTTGATTGTTTATCTCAGGCTGAGATGGGAGAGAGTGCGAAGATGTGTAGGTGTTTTGCTAATTCCCAAAGTGTGTCCCATTAGAAAAAGATGGCTAAAATATTGAACGTGGTAAGAGACCTTCCCCTTCCCTGCTTTTGGGAAGGGGATACTTACTATTCTTGGGGCTGCCTGTAACTTTTAAGGGACAGCACAGTAGCATCAGCTCTAGGAAGGAATGTATCTTGGTAAAGATGTTATATATCTCTAATGTCAGGTTCATTTCCCAACCCAGGCAGACTACAGCCAACTAATAAATGCCATGCTTTACACTAAACGGAGTCTCAACTGGTGAAACAGCTGTTGTTAATTATCTCTTGCAATAACTCTTGCAGCTACAGGTTTTGAAGTAGTAAATACAGAGGGAAAGTAAGAGATGTAATTTTTCAAGTTTTCCAAGCCTTTGCAAAGTCCCAAGCATGTTGATTAGTTACCAAAATACCTCAACGCAACCAGGACTATAAAAGGGTTTTCAGAGAATTCATAGTTTCTTGGCTATAGTGAGTCCCAGGCAGATTCTTCCCCATTCTCTACAGGTTTTTACAGGTTTTGGGTTGTTTTTTGTTTTTTGGTTTTTTTTTTTTGCAGAAGTTGAAGGAGCTCTTTGTTTTCTGCCTCACCTGTTTGTTGTCTACTGGCTTTGCTGGTCCAGTAGTGGTTCGCTAGGCCGAGTGTAACCGCCATGGTTTGCTGTGTCTCTCCATTGTCATTAGTCTTCTCTCTACTAACTTCCTATGTTGTCTGCTGAGTTGTTCTCTAAAAGCTCTCCTGGCCAGATTTCCTAAGCTCCAAACACGCACACACCCACAGTTGGGGACATACATATGACATTATGTCCATGTGGTTCTGGCAGCAGCGGACACCAGCACGAGCGCGGGTTGGCACATCCACCCCCACCAGGAAGCAGCCATAGAAATTAAGGCAAAGGGAAAACTGGAAAATCTGACTTGCATGATGGCCATGGCAAAAACAGTTTTAATTATTCACTGTTCGATTAAATTATTAATTAATTATTAATTAATAATTTCACTGTTTAGTCATTAAGTACGTGACACGGTTCAAAGGTGCCTGAGCATGCCTACCAGTACACCCAATTAAATCCCTGTACTTGCACCATGACGAGCATAGTAAGCCTAACTGTACTGTACCGATTTCTTATTCAGCAATTGCTCTCGTTTCCTCTCTTTCTCTCTCTTTCTCTCAGATAAAAAGTGGGGGGATACTAACCCAGGGTTCTCTGATAAAATTACTTAGCTTGTAAAACACCACTCAGCATTTCTTTTACGCAGGACAAGCTTAGGTTATAACACTGGGAGTTCTTTTCATGAGATGAAGTCCTTGAGATGGACAGAAACAGTCAGACCTCAAGCGCCCAGTTAGGCCAAGTTTGGCTCTTTCACTGAAAATAACAGCCAATAGAACCATGAAATTAGTAGCTCTGTTTCTTTTCTCCTACGTTGTGATAATCGTAGTCCAGCCTCAAATTACGTAAGTAAGTTATTTACCTGCACTGAATGCTTAGCTGAAAACTCTTGGTTTTCTTACCCTGTTTTGCCCAAGACCCAGAGAGGCACAGGGCTGCTGCAACAGGGAGTTGGTGAAATTGCTCAGTAAGAGAGAGGTAGGAGGGCATTCCTGGGAGGTGGCTTTCTGTGACTGATAGTTGAACCTTTCCACATGCCTTTTACATGACTGCCCATGAATTTGGCAAGGTGCTGCTTGGGGCTGCCTGTGTCCTCCCCACGCAGCCTCCTGCAGCAAGCCAGGAGCATTGAAAGAGGTTTAGGGTGTTTCAGAAGCAACAGTTGTACCTGGAATGTGGAGAGGCCCCTTGGGAATAGGAATACTTTCACTGCATTTTCATCAGGACTATTTATTTGTTTCCAGTCACGGACTTTGCTTGACAGGTCCCCATGGCTCCTGCCTGGCTTGTGGTTCAGCATCCGAGCTGACGTGACAACAGCTCTGCTCCCATGTCAGTGGATGCCTATAACATGCTTGTTTCTAGATCATTTCAGTCATTCCCTCCACCTCTTAAATGGGAAACCATGGTAATTTCCCTGTCACAGAATACTTAAGGAAGAGAGAAAAGCTGTGAAGGAGGTGAAATGGAAAATGCAATCAACTTTGTTAGAGGTGAAGCAGAAAAACATTTTTCAAATAGTATAAACTGCAGCTTACTTCATGTGCTGTTGTACCACACCTCCCAGAGGTATTCCTTGGGAGCCAGCTGGTGCTTGTCCTGAAAGGAAGCATTTAAACCACAGCTCGCTGCAGCACACTGGGAGACACTAAGGGGTCACCCAATAGTGGGAGGCAAAATCCTAAAACTCAGCTTTCGAAATGAATGGAAGCTTCTTTTGGGGGACTGACTGAGAGCACAGCTCTGTGCTGTGAGAGATTTTCAATCTCACAACAAGGGTCCTCTGTGGAGCACATGCCAGCCTGTTTGGAAGCAGCCATCTCCTAATGCTCGTACCCACACAGAAATGTGTGCATGCATGCAGTGCTGGGCTTCCTTCCAAATCAATGTAATGATGCATAAGGTCAGATTTCAGCAATATACTGGGATTTGCACTACTTATTGGATCGGGCAAAGCATAATGATATTAAACCAGGTGCCTTAAGACAGCATTAAACCAATTTTCAGCCTTCTTTAAGTCCATTAGACATAAAGTAAATGGGTAGTGTTGGTTGTGCAGCTTACCAACAGATAGGGAAAGGGGCTGTTTGTTGCTTTGTCTTTCTGCATTGATCGCTGGAGGTTTGCCTCTCGGTTACAGCCCTTTAGCCTCTCTCAATGTCAGTCTTGTAACTGGGAATAGAATTCAGTGTAGTGTTTCCTAGAAATAGCAAAATAACAGAGAAATTTATTTGGCTTGACTTACAAAAACAACTTTTTTTTATGCTACAAGTTGAGCAAGTGTGCAGTTTCTCTGCAGATCAGTCCAGGTGCCACTAAAGACCTTTGCTACCTGCACTGGCAAGCATGACATTAAGATAGCATCGAGCTGCACTTCCAGAATTGCATTTGTGATTGACGATAGCCGTGGAAACAAGGCTAAAGCTCCAATGAAAATGGATCCCTTGTGGATCCTCCAGTCCATTCTTAACACAGACACAGGATTATCCAGCTCACTTTTTCAATTTCTGAGTGTCTGAAAACAGAAGGCTCCTTTACTGCCTCTATCCATCACGGGCTTTGTTCTGATGGCCGATTTTAATCTCCCCTCCCAACATTAGCGTTTGCAGCATTCAGAAACACTCCATTACTTATCGGATCCTCAGCTCTGTCTGCATCTGTTCCCATGCAGGACAGCACATGGGCTGTCTCCTTTCCTCAGGCACATTAGGGATTTCGCCTGTGTTCCTAGAAGCTGTCAGCCAGGGCTTTCAGGGTGATTAGAAGTTCCACTGCCCAGTAAAGAGATTCCATTCTCAAAGCTCTGCTTCCCAATATTTCCATTTTGGAAAGTGAAATGTCTGTACAAATGTAAAGAAGTGACCTTGGAGCTGGGTGAGAGGGTTTCCCCGTGCCAGGAGCTCTGCAGGGCCATGCTATGGGCCAGCTCTTTCTTGTTATTCTCTCTGTCTTGTGCATTCTCCTCTGCACTGTGCAATAGCTTCACCAAAGACAAGTCTTTAGCCTGATGATCTGGGACGTGTGGAAGGAGGAAAACATATATTCAATCACCATCATTCCTAGCCTTGAGTGTAGAAGGATGTTGTCATTAAATCTGCCCATAAAAACCCAGCTCTGCAAACTCCAGCAGGGGTTAAATCATCAGCCAGCATGAGCTGCTTTGGCCTGCAGTAAAACTCCCTCTGAGTCACTGAATTCTGCTAACTTCTCTTCTGATTACTTGAGCTCACAGCTAACTATCTCATAAAACCTGACCCAAACTCTCAACAGCTTTTCTTTGACATCTCAAGCTTCTGCACTTTAAACTCTCCCCCAGCAAGCATGCATAGCAGAACAAGATGACTGCATATGAGCATACTTATGCTGGCTTCATCTTGCCAGCAAGGACCGGTATTGCCAGGTAACGGAGTCTGTAGGAACCTCCTGTAGTTTTCCCGAGTGTCTGAACCTATTTTATTGCGTCTTCGTTTCTAGCTAGATTGACCCTGGTGTGTTTCCCCATCCTATTCATGCCTGGGGATACGCAGCCTTAGGAGGAATGAAAAACACTGAGCAACACAGACTAAGCTCAGAAACAAAGAGGGGCATTGTAGCTAATCAGGGTCATTTTGCTTTTTCACAGAGCTTCCCACTGCACGGGAGAAATAATGGAGCTAAATGTGTTCTCAGTGGCATTTCCCCACAGATTCAGACAAATCACCGAGCTTATCCCATTGCTTGTAATGTAGAGACTCCATCCAAACCTCTGCAGTTTGCCCCAGCACTTTGTAGTGCTTTGGTCCACATACAGTAGTCTCTGATGATCACTGGGACAGATGCCTTCTCAGTCAACATATTATGAACCCAACTGGAGTAAGGAGTTTCATCTGAGAATTGATCTGATACTGAACAAAACCATCAATATTTTGGCTAGGAGACCTCTGCTTTATGTTTGGTTACCCAGCAGTGGGCACATGCTTCTGCGCAAATTCCCCGCAGGAGTTTTTGGTGAGCTGTGTGAAACAGACCTCTTGGGTTTTCCTGCAATACCAACCCCTCA